CCCACACACACCACCCACACACACCACCCACACACACACACACACACACACACACACACGGGTAGCAGTCAAGTTGTAGGGATGGCCAGCTGCAGCCCCGAGCCATCCCGAGCCCATGCACACCCAATGTGTAATCCCAAGGGCCCAAGGGCGTCCGCATGGCACTACGATGATACAGCTACCTTCACAGGACCATGCCATCGGCTCTTCGTTGGCTGCCTTGTTGACGGTGGGTGAAGCAGCCACCTCCGACCTTCTAAGATTTCTAAGATTTCGAGCACTTGCAACTCCTGCGACACCCTTGGTGCAACAACACGGCTTGGTACACACATACTGTGCATGACTTGCATGACATTATGACGTCTTGCAGGGTGTGAGGTTTTCATCATGTGATATTTGCACACGTGTTTTGTGCTGAACGGAGCTAAAGGAAACTTGTAGCATGAAGCTCAGTCTGTTCCCGCTCTTGCAGCAAAAGGGCTGCTCTCGTCGAACAGCGGGGGCATCATTGAAGTATCTCTCCAAGTCTCTTATGCGATCAAGACGATTCAGCCGACAGGTGTGTTCGGCATACAGCATTCTGATTGACAGGCATTGTTTGGCCTGGAGTCCATCTACGAGCCAAGCAGCATGGCTTTGCAGACAAGAATCATAGGGATCTGCCACATGAAGTGCAGATTGTGCATCGGCTCCAACATTTGTGACTGCGTGTCTCTGGTAGCGCGTGCCTGCCGTCAGTGTCGGTCAGATGAGGCAAAGAGATCACTGCGAGACCATCAGCAGACAAAAAACGGACTCAGCTTTCCATGTCTTTTTTCGAGCGGAGGAACCGGAGACAATCGCAAAGCCGTTTGCCCATCTCAGAACCAGTGTCGCGGTCTCTCTGTCTATCTGCCTGACCTCTCTGTCTGTCTCTCGCCCCTCGTTCGCTAGCTCTCTCATTCTCTCTATCAGTCCGCCTCCCTCCCTCCCTCCCTCCCTCCAATCCAAGACCGAACGAAGCTTCGGTGGATCCCACGCCGCATGCCAAACGAGATGCAGCAACGTTCAAGCAAGTGTGGGGCAGGTGGACACACTGGTGCTCAATGTCCCTCTGGCTAGCTTCGCTAGAGCTCTGATTTAAATGTAGCTTCCCGGACCCTCCAAACAAGGTTACGGGTCTGTGGCCAGGCTGGAGTTATGCGGCGAAGCAGGCTTCTGACAGAGGCACCCCTGCAAGCTCCTCGAGTGATCTCTTCGCGAATGGTTTCATTGATGATAAAGTGAAGTTGCTTTCTTCCGTTTTCCTGTAGTCTTGCAAAGGAGCGGCGTTGAAGCTGGAAAGGCTTAGTTTCTGGCTGTTGGAGTCTGGGTACAGGAGCCCGGCTGGTTAGTGGAGAAGGGCGGCACGTGAGGGTGGCCTGGATCTGTTTCAATGGTCAAGTTTGGTGATAAGTGCACGCGATCATGCAGATCACATCTGAACGGCTGTTTCCTGCCAGGATGGTCTGGAAGAGACTATGGCGGCCAACCACTTGGGCCACTTTCTCCTGGCCTGGCGCCTTGCATGTCATCTGCAGCAGCTGACAGCTTGGGAGCTTGCACCGGTCGATGGATGTGCTCTGAGTGTTGGCTGGACCGCAAAGACTAGCTGCTCAAAAGCCAAGATGATCGCTCATGCTGTAAACCCACGCACCCTGCGTTTAGTACGTGCGCAGTGGGAACACGTATGCTGGGAGCTGCGCAGGATGTGTGCTGCGGAGACATCACGTTAGCCTATCCTGCCGAAGTGCACCAGTGTCACTAGTGAGCCATGCCTTCACATCATTCTGGACGTGGGCTACGTCAATGCTAGGATACAAGACCTCGATCTTTTGTCATCTTGGTGTGGGGTAAACACCAGGAGCAACCAGAGCAACTCACTGTTTCAATCTTTTGAATGTGGGCCGTGCAGAGATGTTGGCCCATCGTCGCACCCTTCCCGCCGGAGCAGATGCCCAATGCTGCTTGGCACCACTAGACGCAGTCTTTGTGCACCGGTAGTGAAGTGATTGAAGATGTGTCCTACTGTCTGCCTTTATGGTTCAGCTAGATGTTCGGAGGAAGCATGCATAGGTGCCAGAGACACCGAGTTGATATCCAGCTAAGGAATGTGCTGGAGGGTGCTGTGAACATTGCCAAGCGCGGTGTTCGTCGAATAACCAAGGACTAAATGTGCACATCTTTACTGCGTTCGCTGACGGTGCTACACAGGATGGCAGAATCGGGAAGCACACTTAGCTTGGTGCTCGCACGGAGTTGTCGCGTTCCTTTGGGAAACAAGCTCGTGTTTGTGCATGGGCGCAGGACACCTGGGAAGATCGCAGCCTGGTTGTGCGAGTGAGCAGCTTGTTCGCTCTTCGGTTCTGTTGCCTTTGCGCTCTATTCTTGCCTGCCACATGCCCTCTCTGCAAGACCAGGGAATCTGCTGGGGCACAGTTTCAGCTTTAATTCGAGAGATGAGTGTTCACCGGACGTGTGAGCTTGGATGAGCGTGGTGCGGCTGGTTCTGGTTTGTGTCTTGGCTTGCGGTCTGACGGATTCTGGCGGATTCTGTGGTTTCGATTTCTGCGAACGTCTTTTTCACCGGGTCGCTGTCCCAGCCAGCTCCAGAGAGACATCTTCCTTTGAATCTGACCCAGCTCATCCTTCAGGTTTCGATGCCGTCAATCTGGCACGAAAGCCATGAAATGCTGTTGCCTATGTTGTTGGCAGATTTGCCAGTTCGACTTGGACGGCGTGTGGACATCGCCTCAAACAGTGCTCGGTACCAGGCAATGCCACATGCGAGACCATTGTTTTGCGGGAGCCGATCTGTGTTGCGGCCGGCCAGTGTGTATGCTCCTCAGAGTTGTCATGTGCCTCTGACGCTCGAGAACCCTGGCTCCCTGAGGTCCTCTCATTCCAGAAGCTCTTTCCCGGACAGACAGGAACTATTCGATTCTTTTCGTCAGGCATGCTCTCAAGCGGGTCAGAGTGCAGTCGGTCAGAAGGCCAGGCAGGGAAGCACGTCGTGCTCCAGCCAATGGCAGGTGGGGAGTTCATCGGCAATGCCACGAGTGGATGCCACCACGCAGGCAAGCAGTCCGCAGATTTTGTAGCACACTCTGTACTCAGTGGATCCATTGCAAAATCAGAGACTGGGCCTAGAAACTGCCATCAGAAACCAGAGGCGCATCAGAAACTGCCGCGCATCAGAAGCTGCGCATCAGAAACCGGCGCATCAGAAACCAGCGAGTGTCAGAAACTGGAGGCGCGTATCAGAAACTGAAGTTTGGAAACTGGCACGGGAGATTGGAAGCAATGCTGGGGTGGTGAGAAGAGAGCATCCATGGCCCAAGCATGATAGCGACCGGTCTGATGAGTCTGAGTCTACTGCTCTTCCATGGTGCAATGCCTTCTGAGCACAGAGCATCCATGGCCCGTCCATGGTCTGATGCATTCTGACAAGAGAGCAACAAGAGAGCACCCATGGGGGGTTGGCGGGCATGATAACGTCCATGGTCTATCGCCTTGCATTATGAGCACAAAGCATACAGTGCACAACCATGATAACGTCCATGGCCTGATGCATTCTGACAAAAGAGCATCCATGGCCCAACCATGATAACGTCCATGGTCCGCTGCAATCTGACAAGAGAGCATCCATCGGGGGGGCAATGATTACGTCCATGGTCTAATGTGTTCTGAGCACAGAGCATCCATGGCCCGTCCATGATAACGTCCATGGGTGCTGGAAGAGAGCATCCATGCAGACACCAAGGTGACGTCCATGGTCGAATGCGTTCTGAGAAGAAAGCATCCATGGGCCAACCATGATAGCATGAGTTTTGAGAACCGTTCCCTAATCACGGCTTCTGGTTTCCGAAGGATGTGTCTGGTTTCTGGATCGTTCTGGTTTCCGAATCATGGTGTGGTTTCCAACATGGTTGGTTTCTGAATCATGGCCGGTTTCTGATTCAGCCGTTCTGGTTACCGATTCAGTCGTTCTGGTTATCGATTTTTCCGCCGACCGTAATCAGTGAACACACATGTCTGCTGTCGATCGCGGTACTGAGTTTCTCAAGGGCAGGCATATGCTTGTGTTTATACCGCACCCCACCTACGGTTACGTAAGCTGTTCCGATAGAGAAGCCTTTTCCTGGGATGAGGCGCTGTCGAACTGGCAATCCACGAGCACAGGCTCTTCATCGGAGAGCGGCTTGGCGAGTCGTTTGCAAGAGGCTCGTAACCTATCACCCTTACTCATGCAGCAGCGTTTTCCGAGGTCCTGCCCTTTTGGTCAGAGTACCTTCCTCAAGAACCATCGCTTCATTGTCAGCTTTGAGCCACCCAGCAGGTGCGTGGGTAACCCAAAGAGCCTTTTGGTCCTGTAGGCCAAGCTGTTGTGGCGTTGTGAAATCACCGGATGGCCCTTGGCAAGAGTGAGCCTGGGAGGAGCCTGCACGACTTCTACGCTGAGGCCAATGACCCACGACTTGCACTTGTTTGACAGAAGGCTTTAGTGATACCCAAACCTAGACCTAGCCGAGCACTCTGTACCTGCCAGATGCCTGCGCAATTCATGGGCTGCCGTGGCACCCAGAAGTCGGTGATTCGAGAGGCGCACCGCCAGTGCAGCACAGGCAGTGCTTGAGACCATCCTGCGATTTGATCAGGCCCCGGGGTTTAGCGCTTGGCTGTGGACCCCTACTTCTCGGGAGGGCCCCTGTACTTCCGGGATGCCAATGCGCAGCAAACCACACGGGCGGAAAGCTGCCCAAGAGGACCTGCGAAGAGCAGTCGCAACTAACCACGGAACGCACAAAAATGGTGATCGCCTGTGCAGCATTTCTCCTCGCCGACCGGGTTTGTCTCAAATACTCGACATGGACACCAACGCAGTCACGGGAAGCAACGCCCTTCCGAATGGGCCTACCTCCAGCTTACGTGCAAACGAGACAAGGGAGGGCACGAGGCAGCTCGACCAGAAACCGACCCAATCTTTGTCGACGTGGCCACCGATGTGCAACTTAAGCAGACCAATGACCAAGCAGCTTGAACCAGACCAGCGAAGGGTGGGGGAAACGAATGCAAAAGATGAGAGAAGCCAACCCATTGAGGACGACGACGGGGAAAGCGCTGGAGGTGCCAGCTGGTTCTGCCACCAACCAAATGAAGCGGGAAGACTTTGGCCGCCTACGACCACAAGGAACAGAAAATGCAGGGGGATGCAGCTACGACCGGCATATCGCATGGACAGACAGCGGAGGACGGGGGAATTTCGACAGGAGGAAGTTTAGGTGGGGGCCTTGCGGGTCGGGCGGAAAACAGAGATGCTTGCGGAAAAGGCGAGACGGCTGCTGGCTGGCTACAGATGTGGGGCGAGAGATCCCGTAGCAAGCCGCTCTCGTGAGCAGCGTCAGCCCGTTGCCGGAGTACTTTGTTAGTGCTGCAGCACGCTGTTCGTTCGGGGGGTTTACTGATTCTGTGAGCTTCTGGCTTCCTCCTGAAAGAAGCTGCAACGCTTGACCCTTGACAACGGGCAACATTGCCCATATGCTTCTGAGCCCCATCTTAGGTAAACCGGAAGGTCCCTTCGCCCATACGGTCGCTGAATCCTGTGTCTGTTCAGAAAATGACCGGCTCATTGCCAATCATGGGCACTCCAGCGGGGAAGTTTAGCCAGTTTACAGTAGCCTACTTTGTGGGGAAGCCAAAATCAAATCATTAAAGTCCCTTTTGCAGACTGCCACAAGTCTCACCGAAGTGTGGGGGCACGAGTGTATCCTACGCGATGAGGAGTGGAGGGGTTTCTCCACGGTCTGGTTCAGTCGTTCTCATTTCCCACCGTACCTCGAGAAGCCTGGGTTCGGGTCAACCGGGTTCATGCCACATCAAAGAAAACAGGCACAGAGAGAGAGAGCGAGAGAGAGAGCGAGAGAGATCTCGTGCTCAGGGCCTTTGCGCTCGGGTGAATGCGCTCTCCACCGAGAGCCCAGCAGCTGCGGACATAGTGAGCCTTGCAAGACTTACTGAGCATCAGGGTGTGGTACAAGTTTGTCATGGAAGATTCGCAACGATGCACGATGCGTTTGTTGTTGAAGGGCCGATTCATACAGTCATGGCCTGAGGATCCTCCACGAAGACTATCATCAAGTCGAATATGAGCTTGATTGCATCCAACAGCGACTTGCAAGATACGGTGGTTGTGTTTTTAGGTTTTGAGGCCTGCTTAACAAGCAGCAGCTTTCTAGTGCTCCTGGAGTCCTGGTCCTAGACCTCGACCTAGCGCATTATCTCAGGCTCCAGTTCGCCGAGTGGTGCGCAGGGCATGCCGAATACCAGCTGCTGGTCTTCATTGGAACAGTCGGATGGCGAGGTGCATTCAAGGCATGTCAGAGCTCAGAGTCACCATGTTCGGGCCCTTAGCTCCAACTCGAAGCCGCTTCAAGCTTGCCTTCAAGGCAGATCTGCAACGCAAGTGCGCCTGTCCAGTGCATGAAACTCCACAGCTTGCCTCCAGACCCATCGC